CTGCTGAATTTCCCATGCAGTTTTTTTTTTTTTTTTTTTTTTTTTTTTTCATGCAGTTTGGTGCATAGAGGGAAAAATGCTCCCGGGGGTTTCCCGTTGAAAGGTTAAAAAAAAATTAAAAAAAAAAAATAAAAATAAAAAAAAAAAATAATAAATAAATAAAATAAAATAAAAAATTCTCCCGAGAGAAGCCGCTGATAATGGTACATTTCGCTGTAAGTAGGAATTAGAAGAATACGTTGTGGTCGATTATACTGCGTTTGTTCTCTTGGTTTGGTTTGCATAAGCTAAACCGGCTAATGCTGCCGGGATAACTCCAGGTTGAATTGTGAGGTCCCCGGCCTCGTTCTGAGATTTTTGCAATGATAATGAATGGGTTTTTTTAATTTAAAAAAAAAAGAAAAGAAAAAAAAGAAAAAAAAAAAAGACGCTGATAATTACCACTAGAGAGGTTAGAAGAGAGAGACAGAGAGAGCGCCGCGCAGCATCGAAGAGGGGGTAATAGGATTGTGTGCGACTTGCCAGGTACGAAGATCGACACGTGGCACGTGGCTGCTGAAAGAAAAAGAGTGACACGTGGCGGCGACTCATGAAAAGATCTGGTTACAAGCGCCATCCAATAGTAATTGAAGTTATTCAACACGGAAAACAAAAAATACAAAAGTGTTGAAGAAAAAGCCCTCACAAGTATACTGTGGAGTATATATAGCGCCGCACACTACTCTGCCTCCTCGGCTCCAGGGCATTCGACTCTTGTGCGCGCGACCGTCTCTCAGCAACCGTGAATAACTTCGCCTTGCGGGCGTCAGGTTGGCCTCAGCAGACCCCAGTACAGCGACGTCAGCCCGACTCCCTGATCCGTACACTGGACCATTTCTCTATTTATGCATGGCAGCCTTGCGGAGTGGCCGTTTTGCTAATTACCCTTCTCTGGATCGTTCCAATTTTAACGAATGTCCCGAAGGACTGATCCGTACGTTTGGATAGCTATGAGGGGGTTCGCGTTTCGTTTGTATTTTTGAACGCTTTGGAACGATTCCCTTACCCCCCACCCCAACCCCCCAACCCCCCCAATTCACTTGCCTACTCCCCTTTCAACGGATGAAGAGATATAATAGGCCGTAGGGAATGAAGTGAAGATCGACCGGCAAAAAAAAAAAAAAAAAAAAAAGATCTAATCCTGCTGTAGTAGGACCGCCCGGGAACCCCAGAAAACACCGGGCTTCGGTTCAGCCACGGCGATTTTGTTGGGCTTCAAAGAAGAGAAATGGGTGTGGCGAAATGCCCCGTGACAGTCTTGAGACTTTGTGAAATACCCCGCTTGCAGTTCGACCCGCCCCCTTGGGAATAGTATACCCCTATCGGGCCCTGTGCAACTTGTCCGTATGCCCCAGCATTTCTGGCGGTTGAACCCTTTGCGGGAGACCTTGCAAATGTCCCTACCCTTATGGCGTTTACAGCCCACTGAGCCCGTCCTTGAGCTGGCAACTTTTTGCAAATGGCCCTACAGGATTCTCAACCTCTTTTTCTGTTTGCCCCTCAGCACGTACGAGACCCACGGGGTTCTCTATACTTCACTGATGGAAATGGACGTGGAGAAGCAATGAAAGGGTAAAAACAAAAGATGGGAAAGATGTAGAGATGGAGTTGGGAAGGTGGGAGTAGAGGAGGGAAGATGATGGAGATGGACTTGGGAAGGTGGGAGTAGATGAGGAGGCGGCAAGGTGATGGAGATGGAGATGGAAGAGGGGATCCTGCTCATGGTGTGCGAAGCTAAGTTCCGTACCTCGCAGTTCACGAACCGCGAAGTAAGCCCCAAAGTACGGATCTTGACGAACATGGATCTCTTCGCTGATTAATTGCATGTATCTTTCAGTTTCGGCCTTGTCCTTCTTCGATTTAGCTCTGCGAACGTGGGGAACTTCGAAGAAATGTTTCTGAATTCAGTAGACACCGTTTTTAATTTCTTTTGCTTAGCATGTGCACGCAGCCATGCTCGACTACGCAAGCTGGCTTCCCGCTTCGCACGTGCGCCAACTTCTCTTCTTCATTTCTTTTTTTTTTTCTTTTTTTTTTTTTCTGAGAACACCCGAGCGGGAGCTAGGGGTGCTGGTAAGAGCAGGCACCACTAGCGTAGTCGGGGAGGCTCCATCTATTGGTGGGGAGCGGCACCTGCTGGAAATTGGGTCCAGCATCCCAGAACATTGTAGTTGTTTGTGTGAACAGACATGCAATTGTAATGACAGCAAGCTACCGGGCTCACCTCCTCAGAATGAAGTTTGGCAGGTAGAACTACACAACTCTGAGCTGCTTGCCTACATGACAGCCTATGGTCTCGTTCCAGTCAGGCAAGGCGCGCTAACCGGACCGGTCGGCAAGGCCCGACCGCACTCCGGGTGACTATCTCAGGAACACCGAGGAAGGCGAGGTCCCCGAAGCCATCGCCACATTGGTGTGATCGCCACCGTGGCAGGCCTTCGGATATCCCGTCAGATGCGCTTGCGCCGATTTCAACTACAGCAAGAGTCGACTAAGTGGTGAGCGTGAGATACGCATGAGGAAGCAGGACAAAGACAGACTGAGGTGCAGGGGGGAGGACGGAGAGAAAAGAGGAGGGTGAAACCTTAAAGGAACAGGGTGGAGGATAGTAGGCAGAGAGGAAGGGACGTGCATCGGCACAAGGAGGAACACACTGAACAGAGGTGGGGCAAAGAGGACTGGAAATGGGGCGAGAGAGTGGGCAGGGCGAATACGAGTACCACGACCCCATGCATAAGTAACGCGACGGGAGAGAGAAAGAGACACAAGGAATTCGCGGGTGGAACCTTAACGGAACACAGCAACTCCACGCTTCTGCGCACAAGAGTGATCAGGAGAGACACAATCTCGGAAACAAACAAAGAGTCGGGTTGGAATGAGACAGAGGATTCGTTGGAACGGTGGCCAGAGCAGCAGCGGTTATCAGGACAGAGCTGGAGCGGGCGGTCCATTAAGAAGATAACACTACAGCGGGAGCGGAAACAAACAGAGAGTCGGGTTGGAGTGAGACAGAGATTCGTTGGAACGGTGGCCAGAGCAGCAGCGGTTATCAGGGCAGAGCAGGAGCAGGCGATCTATTAAGAAGACAACACTACAGCGGGAGCGGCGGCGATCGGCTCCACCTCAGGGTGGAGGGTGAGACTTTCCCTGGCCGGCAGCCTCACCATCATGTCCCTCCCCCGCCCTGCCTGATGACCACCCTCGCTCACCCTCTCCCCGTCTCTCCAACACATCTGTTCACGAATCGATCTGCTCCATACTTTCCCGATATCACCTGATCTGACCCGTTCTTACCCGATTCAATTCCCTCGTACACTAAAAAGTCTTTGTTTTTTACACAAGGGTTTCGTTCCGTCGGCAGATACGCTGACAGCTATCTCCTTCACAGGTGTCACAACCTTATCACTGTCAAAACCCTCACTACGACTAATAAACGAAGAGTCAGAGGAAGACACAAGAAAACACTGACGATCCGTCGAGAAAAAAAACGCCTCAAGGAGGTCGGAAGAGGTGAATGACGACGGAGTCAACCCCAATCTTGACCCCCCGCCTCTCACCATTCAGGAAGCCCCCACACTACTGGAGGGGGAGAACACAACAACGGAGCCTCCATCACCTGACGGTTTGGCCTCCAGAACGAGTGGACCAAACGGCTTGCCTCCCCCTGCAGAAGGGCAGCAGCATCCACTCAACTCTAACCACCGGCCATCCGAGGGACCCCCGGCCGCCCGGCTAGATGCACCCCAACCGGCGGACCAAGCACAGGATATCACTATCCTCCACCAAGGGGGGGCGTCACAAAGCCCCCCTTCCAATACTGAGTCATCGCCGGAACTGACAGAGGATCAACATGGCAGGCCTGATCAGCAACAACAACAGTCGGGCTAAGCCAACCAGATGCTGCCCCAACAGACGCAAGGGCAGGAGGGTCAAAGTAAGGTGTACCAGAAATCCAAGGATACCCACGCCCTTATGCAGGCCCTCGCGGCCTCTAGCCAACCACCCAACACGGAACCGTTGGCCTTGGACGCGATAGGACTCATGAAGGCACACTTCATCCAAAAACTCCATGTACGCCCAATCAAAAAGTACATTGAGAAAGACGGTTACATCTATCCTCACGCCATCTTCCCTCCACAGGCAGTGGCAAATAGGAATATGCTATATTCGCAGAATGCGGTACAATTCATCTCTTCCCAAACGGCGGCTGAAATCCCCATCAATGAAAAACTGCAATGGGTCAATGGGAGATTGAGATCAATCAAGATCAGTGACCAAGCAGTGGCTGACCACTTCCTCATTGAACCGACAGGGCCTGGCACTATAAGGGTGATCTCAATCTACCCGTTAGATAGAGCCAACCTCCTCAAACTCTCCTCCCTCCGATGTAGAGGTCACGTCATGGAGGTTAGAGGATGGGAGCCGCCGACACCTTTCACAGCTGATCAGAGAAGGGAACAACTGATGCGGAACCACTTTTGGGTGGAATTCCGCTTTGCCCCGCTGAGCGTACAAGGGGCAATTTTGGCTGACCTCCATCAGATAGCTCCAGTCCTGGGGTACATTAATGACACCCCGATGTTCCTTCCCAAAAGAGACGACTCCCTTCTCGTCGCGGTCGATTGGGACCCTGCAGATGGTTTCCCTGTCAGTGGGCAATCGTCTTACTCGCAAGATGACAAGGTCTATGCCGTACAGGTGAATCATCTGCTGGACCCCTGGTGCTACGCATGCAGGACCAGGGGACACCAGTCCACAGATCTTCGCTGCCCCAATTCGCAAGCCAAAACTATGAGAGGGCTGGTGCAGCCTCACCCGGATGGTCCTAGACGCTGGGTTCCAGAAGACCCCGCCTTTGAGGGGTGGGTCTTCCACAAAAAGTCCATTAATAAGCCGGGAGAGTGGAAATGGGAAGGAAGGGGACCTCCCCCCAAATCCCCGGCTAATTTCACAACACCAACCCAAGGGGGAAGATCGTCTCCGGGTGTGGCTGGACCTCAGAAAGACAAAGCCCCTGCACCGCTCCACCACCAACAGCAACAGCAACAGCACGGGCAGCTGCATCAACGGAAGCAACACCCACAACCACAAATGCTGACTCCGCAGCAGCAACAGACAGGGCAGGCCAGCACCTCGGCCTCAGCACACCAACAGCAGCAGCAGCACTGCATCCACCAAGAGCAGCAGCAGCAACCCCTGCAACAGCAACAGCACCATCAACACCCGCAACCACAACCACTGCAGTCACAGCACCAGCAGAACCAGAACCAGCAACATCACCAACAACAGCAGCAGCATCGTCTCCCACACTCACATCAACAGCACCCACAGCAGCAGCAGCACCAGCACCAGAAAAACCAGAACCAGCAACAACAACAGCTGCAATATCACCAGCAGCAACAGCGCTGGCAGCAACAGCCGCAGATACAGCAGACCTCGAATCAAACTGCCAGATTGGGAGCACCCGCAAGCAAGTCTGATAATGTGGAGAGAACCATACCCCCTCCCTCCCCACAACCACTCGCACGGGTCGCTCCGGTACCCCGGGTCTGGGACAAGGAGGACACACAGACAAGAATCTTCAACAAGTGGAAAGAGAAAATTGCGGGAAGGGTCTCCGGTTTCTGTGACACTGCTAAGATCAACCCTTTGCTGATAGACCACAACGCCAGCGAAGCAGGTATGGAAGGGGTGGAATGGGCACAGGACGACCCATCAAGCACTCTCCCGATGGACCAATCGGGCCCGCCCCCCCTGGGGGGCCGGACACTTCGGACGCTGGGACACAAATCCTGAATGAGGCCCACAACAACACAGTTAACCCCACCACCCAACAATCGGTGCTCACGCTGCAACCGCAAGTCATGGACTGTGGGGTGCCAAATGGTCTGCAAACGAGTCTCTGGTCCCCAGTACAGAACTCCTGCAACTACACAGTACACCCACACATGGCGGCGATGCTACACTCTCATGACCACCACATATTGCAGACCCCCCTGGCCCAAGGACTGGGTTGTGACATCTTGCCTCCCCCGCCCCCTCCCCCCACCAAGGAGCACGAGGGAACGGATCAGGCATTTGCACAAACCCAGATTCCCCTGATACAACAACATCTGGGACAAGAGGCAACCCCACCAGAACCGGGAATTGAAGTAGAAATGGCCAATTTCCAAGGAAAAGAGGAGGGGTCGACGGAAATTCCGGCCACAGATGGGATACCCAACGAACAGGGGATGCACCCGCCCCACCGACTGTCAAAAGACACAAAGGTGAGAGCGAGGCTAAAGATGGTGACTGATGCCATCCTTATAGGCTTGCTGAGATCTGCAAAATAGTCTGACCACTCCCGCATAACTCCCCTTCATTGGGAGAATATAAGACGGAGGTTTATGAACACAACAACAGTCACTCAGTTCCTGGACTGGGCAACCGATCCGGCCTCTATTGACTGGAAAAAGACAGCCTGTCTTATCATGGGGGTCGTGCACTCCCTCATGAATAAAGTAAGAAGCGTCGGGCCGTGACAACATCTTCCCCGGCTGACACATCATTGGCGACTCTGTCCCACACTGAAACTAGCCCAACAGAGTTGCTCTTCGATGGTATACAGTGGCCTGGCCTCATAATCCAGGAACTGGAGCTCGAGACGGGGGAGCCCACACCACAGCCCGACGAAGCGATCGTCCCTGCAGAAAGCCCCGGGCTGGAGCAACTGGTGCCACAACACCTGTTGTTACCACTTTTTCAGCTACGAATCATGCACCCTGCAGCAATCATGGATGACACTGCCCACACTCACCGAACTCACAGAGCACACTTGTCGGACCTGTCAGATTCACCCTCTGATTCCGCGTCAGGGACTGATACTGAAGACGAGTTTGAGTGGGATCCGATACTGCTGACTGCTGGCACCGTGCCCCCGCCGCTGGTAACTTCAACCACAGCGGCCGACTGCACAGCGGCAACAGTAGCGGAACAGGAACACCCAATCGCCCCGCTGCAGGAATGACGAGACGAACAAAGACAACAATAGCTGCTCATCACAGACCAACCGGAACATAGCACATCCGATAAGAACTCCGACACAGTGCGTGGGGGGCCAGACACACCCGGGGGAAAAATAAGCACATTTAGGGACGCGTTGAGGGCCGAAGACCGACTAATTCAGGCTCCTGTCACGAAACCAGGGGTAGTTATAATCCCGGTCAAAAGGAGCATTCCAGATGGGGAATGGAAAGTGTGATTGAGAATCAACTCCCCCCGGGTACCTAACCTGGTTAACAGAGCACTCAAATCCACTCAGCAAGATCCCCCGGGCCTCACCCTCCAAGGGTGGAGAGGATCCACGTCGCAGGTGATGACCAGGCACATGCTCAGGAACCACCTCAACCAGAATGGGGATCAGGGGGTAGTAGGGACAGTTTTCCCCAGCGACCTCCCATTCCTGAAGGGTGCGATTCCCATATTGGTCCTGTTCGCTACAGACCAGCAGGAGAGCCAGCAGCAACAGTCGGGCCATATCTGTTGGCTCACACAAAAGGAACTGTTGGAGACATCGACACTCCGACTGAGAACAAACAACATTTGGCCTGCAACAGAACAGGTAGGTTTTTTGCTCCGACTCCTGGAGGAAGAAGCCTTGGATAAGCATAGGGCATGGGATGACCCGCCCTTCATCAACAGCATTGCGTGAAGGACACAACGGGCAGACCATCAGTCATCTGAGCCCCCAGCGTCAACCAGGCCTCCAGGAAGGAGGTTTGCAAATGATAATACAAACACAAGCAACACCGCAGCATCCGAGTCCCGAGGGGGACCGTGACAACAAGCACATCCACACAACCCACGCTATCCGCCACCCCCCCCTCGCCCGCCCCCTCCGATACGGAAACAGTCGGAGTGGGCGAAAAAACTTTCAGAGGCTGATCTAGACATATGCTCTATAAATGTCAACGGATTGGCACAACCCAATGAACAAAAGAAGTCGGTCATCTGGAAGATGATGCTGCAGGACATGGGGGGAAAATGGCCTGATGCCATTGCACTACAGGAGACTCGTCTCACTGATTCTCAACCCCACCTAGCCAGAGCCAAAAGTGTCTGGCCTTATGCAACATTCATGGCCCTGGCCCGCTCTTCAGCTTCCACTGGAGTAGCCATCTGGATACCCCCCTCGTCGAGACTGGTCCCAATACATGCGGAGTGGGACAAAATAGAGGGAAGATGGGTCCACCTGAAAGCGGCAATGGGAACAGACGAACTGTATTTGGTATGCATATATGCTCCAAACGATCCGGTGCAGCGAGTACAGTTTTTTCTCACCTTGCAACACATCTTGCCAACAGACGCCCCCATCATAATGTGTGGGGACTTCAACACCACCCTGGATCCGGGGGTGGATAGAAGATCGTCATCACCGATACACCAATCACCACAATCCTCACCGGATAGCACGGCGCTAGGCAAAATGTTGTCAGATATGGACCTCATTGACACCTATAGAGAGACATACCCTAACAGAAGAGCCTACACATGTGTCAGATCGCGAGGGGCGGCGGGAGTCTCTAACTCAAGAATTGATTTAATTCTCCTCTCAAAAGACCTGGGGGGTCTCCTCACCACGTCAGCGATCCTCCCCTTCTCCCCCTGCAAATCTTTTGGCCACCGCATGATAGCAATGGGCCTCTCCCTCCACATGCACATCACAAGAGGGCCGGGGTACTTTAAATTCAACACATCCTTGCTAAAACTGCAGGCTTTCGAGCAGCTGGTTAAAGACTTCTGGTCATACTGGACATCGACGAAACCCGAGGACAGGTCGATAGTCCAATGGTTAACGAAGGGGTGACGCAGTTGAGAGAGAGAGCTAAAAAGTTCTCCATCCAGAGAGCAAGAGAGCGTAAAGCAGTGCTGGATAGCCTGCTACAACAACTTGCGGAATGGGACACACACCTCACCGAAAACCCTTTGGACATTGACACCTTCAACGCCCTTCAACACGCCAGAAGCCAGTTGCAAGAGTACCTGGACATGCAAGCACAAAAATGGAGAATACATGCTAAAATCAGGAAGGACGCCACAGACGGGATGATGTCTAAGACCTTCTTTAGCAAGGCTAAAGCTAAGAGCAGACAAGCCACGGTGCCCTCCCTTAAGCATCCGTTCGATGGGTCCCAACCGCCAACAAGAAACGTGTACAAAATAGTGGAGTATGCATCCCTCTATTACACAGACCTGTTCACCTCACAGACTCCACGCACTCAGCCGCAGACCCTTGCCCATGCAAGGGACACATTGCTGACTGCACTCCCGTCCTTGCTGACCACAGCACAAAGAAACTCTCTAGATGAACCCATGTCTGGTCGAGAAATACTTCAGGCACTGCAAGATATGGACGATGAGAAAACACCCGGTCTGGATGCCTTCCCAAAGGAGTTTTGGCTTCACTTTCGGGAGACATTCGAAAAAGACTTCATCACATACACCAACGCAGTGTTCCATGAAGAGACTTTCGGGGGACTGATGGGACAAGGGGTGACAACACTGTTATACAAAAAAGGGGATAAGGAAGAAATTAGGAATTACCGCCCTATCACCCTTTTGCCCGTGCCGTATAATATTATAGCTAAAGTTTGGGCAAACAGACTGTTGCCCCTCCTACCGCACCTCATCCACCCAGACCAATCAGGTTTTATGCCATTTCGCAACATACAAGATAATATTTTGCTAGTCAATGAAACTATCCGCTACGCAAGATAAAGAAAAGCGGAGACGGCTATACTGTTCTTTGACTTTGAAAAGGCATACGACCACGTGGACTGGGATTTTCTCGACATGTGTCCAGTGAAAATGAACTTTGGCCCGCTCTTTTGCAAATGGGTCAACACCTTCCACAGAACTGCTACCACGAACATCATCCTCAATGGTCATCTTGCTCCCCCTTTCGCTCTTCAACGATCGGTGAGACAAGGCGATCCCATTGCACCAATGCTATTTGTGCTGGTCATGGAAGCGCTTGCGGCCATGATCAGGAACAACCCTCATATTCACAAAATACGAGTGCCGGAGATTCCGGAACGCTTGATTCCTGTCACCTCAATCTTCGCATATGATCTCACAGTGTTGTTCCGCGCAGACCAAGAGAGCTTCCGGGCGCTGGCTCACACAGTCCACCTCTTTGAGATAGCAGCGAACATGAAGGTTAACTGGGGAACAAAAACAGAAGGCTGGTGGTTGGACCCCCTGGGTGGACCGCCACCGACTGACCCTCAGGTTACCTGGAGAGACAAAGAGACAACGATAAAAGTGCTGGGTGTGAATATCACAGCGATGGGCCCACCGCCAGACCACGGTGATTCGCTGCTGGAGCTAGCAATAAAAAAACTCTCTAACTGGGACGGCAAACCTACCTCTCTGGTAGGCAGAATACTGGCAATTAACAACGCCATTTTTGCATCTATATGGTACAAGGTGGCATTCTGGCAACTCAACAGAAAACAGATCACTAAGCTTAAACAGGTGGCAGCAGCATACCTCTGGAAGAATGATCACAACCACTCTAACTGCATAAAAAGGGTGGCATGGGACACTATTGTGCAGCCTAGAACACAGGGAGGCCTAGGGATAATCGACCCAGAGAAAGAGATCAAGGTGTTGCTCTTCAAGTTCTTGATCCGCCTCCTACTGGGCAACGATATTCCGTGGGCCCCGTACGCCCACATCCAGCTGCACTGTATTGCACCCACCTCTCACCCTCTCTCACCAATTCACCCGCTGCAATGGTTAACCAACACAGCCTGGTCCCTTCCCTTGCCACCACGAAGTGCGGAGGATCACTCGCAGGAAGGAAGGGCAAAACAAGACCTCAAAGTTGATGCACTGTGGCCAGCAATGATTAGACTGTGGAGAGAAAGAGGGCCGCTCCGCACCCCCACGATGCCCAAAATGGAGGAAGTGGGTCGCCAACCACTTTTTGGGCATTAACACATCACGGATGAAGCCGGCAACCAGTTCTCCCTCCAAGGGTCCTCCAAATGGAGGCAGTGGGTTAAAAACGGGGTGTACACAATGGGCCACCTCTGGGATGGCCAGGCAAGGAACTGAAAATTGGAGACCGCTTTGAAGACACTCACATATGGCCTCTTGCATGAGGGAGCTACAGGAAGACATCCCTTTGGCCTGGATCCGCGCCCTCAAAACGGGCCCGATAATACAGTCGGATGACTGGGTGGTGTCCACCCATTCTATGCCTGTTCCCATGACAGCGTACAAAGTACACAGCACCATCAACAGAATCACAGCACTACATGCCTACTGCCCGACCCTACCCGGAGAACGCTGGTCAACAATACATAGACAAGAAGATTTGGACACACAAAGACTGCCATTCGAACTGACCAGGGTGAGAGTAGTAGGGAATGCAGAGGATGGCCTCTTTCTCTACGAGCCATCCATCCCCCTCCGTGAGCTACCATTCAATCCGGCGGAATGGGAATGGTCATGGGGGGACTCGCAGACAATGCCCTTGTGGCAATACACTTTCAAGAATGGCTATCTAATAGCCCGAAAAAAAGTACAAGTCACACAACAAATTATACATAGGTGGGAAAGAGACTCCCCACTGGAAAGGCAGGACTTCCAGCACTTCAGATGGTCAAACTTTTCGCATATCAAACCGACCAATCACAGAGCGCTGCAATGGCAGATCATACACAGATGCCTGCCAACTCCGGATTGGTTGACATCAAGAACAGACTTAGAGGCCAAAGGGTTGCTTTCCCCTCTCTGCACGTACTGCACCAATTCCACACCACGCCAAAGAGCTACCCTGAAACACTGCCTGCTTGACTGTCCGATGGTGTCTCAAGTCTGGTGTTGGTGGGACGCAGCCTGGCACTATCTTACGAGGGAACACTTACCATGGGATGTTCGTACCCTCCTTCTGGGAGGTCCCTCAGAGGGAGCAGCGAACTGGACACCCTTTATGTCCAACCTTTTTTACATACTCCAGACTGACGGTGCTAATGGCGGCCTGGAGAATGTGATGCGCATATGAAAAAAAAAAACATGATTTTGGCTTCATGCAAGCACGGGCAACAATCATAGACACTGTCACAACAAATACCCAGGCCGCCTGGAGACTGATGCAATCTAAGTTGCTGAAAGAACCAGATGAGGCTAAAACACGCCTCATACTACAGAATTTCGAAGCAACCTGGACGGATGGCAATGGGAGACTGTGCTCCCTCGACAACGCCCACTCACTCGAGTGGCAGCCTTGGCTGTCAACGGAGAGGCAGTGGGAAAGGTTGCCGAGGCACCACTCCCAGGTGGTTTACCAACCCACGAACTTCGTTCTTGTCCCTCCAGAAGACTGTGCCCAACACGCCCTCCACCACCCTCCCTGCAACCACCCCCACGACTAGCCCTCTCCACCCCCCCCCGTGACATTCCCCC